TAAATGTGTCCGGGAGCACCCTGGGGCAATATTAGACATGAACGCTGCTATGATCTATTTAAGCATGTGTGAGATCTGTATAAATAAGCCCCTCAAACCCCCCTCCCCTTTCTTCTCTCTTTCTGTCTATGAACCCTGACTAATGTCTTGAATGAAATCTTTAAATGTTTGATTTCAAAGTAGAGGGTGAAGATTTTTTTCTTCTTCTTCCCTATCTGTAAAAGGGCGGGGGGGGGGAAGGAAGAGGTCATGTGGAGAATGTTGATTTTAAAAGGGGGGGGAGGCAAACCCATTGCGCCTACTTTCATGGAGTGGGGGGGGGAATCCACAGAATGAGTCTTCAGCCTTGGCACCTGCTCCAGAACCTTCTTGATGAAGCAAAGGTTGTCTTCATTAAGAGCATTAATATTCATGCAGCATGGTAATTTTGACACAGAAAAGGTCTCTGTAACCTTTTCTTGTGTGAGAATTTTTTACTTCTCAAGGAAATTACAGTCCAGCAATGACTTAATTAATGCTGGGTTTCTTCAGCGGGTTTTGAAAAGCTGTCAGTTTAGGCTTGCCGTAGCTGTCAACCGAGGTGAAGTCTCCGGCTAGATAGATTGAAGGGAGGGAGGGAAAATATCCAAGTTCTAACATGGATCCACGTTGGGGCGGGGGGAGAGAAGGGGGGAAGTCACCTACCTCTCCGGCGTTAGCTTTAATTAGCAACCTGCTTGCCTTAATGCGAGGTCATTTAATATTGGTCTGTAGTACATAGTCTGAATTAAATAACCAATTTTTCAGCCACTTTATCATTTCTATTGTTTTCATTCAAGCATCTGTTTCTCCTAATTTGTTTCTGTGGATAACACCCCTTCTATCTTGCTGGGAGAAGCCGTCTGATTTAAATGAGAGATTCACTTAAGGGGGAAAAATAGCAACGAGGGTGGAGCAATATTTTGTCTTAAAACTGTCCATCAAAAGGTAGCACAGGACCAAAGAAGAGCGTCGGCAAATGATGTTTATAAATCAAAGCTCACTCTCTTTCCCTCTACACATTTTGACTTTGATCAGAATACAGTATGCTAGTCATTGATTAAGCTACCAAGAGGTCTGTGTAGATTATTTAAATGGCAGAAAATTACTAAGAATATATATATTTTTTTAAGTGCTGTTTTGGGAGATTTGATGGAAACTACTCTAGTGCTACCCTGCCCCTTTCCACTTTTGTCTCCACTCTCCAGACAAGTGTGAACGGGTGTCTGCAGTTAACCAGAGCTTTGGAATACATTAGATGCTGCACCACTTCTGACTTATCCCTGCCGCACAAGGTCCGTTTTGCTGCACGGTTGTGGAGCAAAGTGAAACTACAGCCTGCCATTTCAAATACCTTCCAGGCTTTGCTCGGAAGTTGAATGCCTTGGTGCGGCTAGGCATAGCTAAAGTAGGTGCCCGGCAAAGGCAGTTCTGCTAATAATCTCACCACAGGAACCACCCTCAATTTTTTAAAAAAAATATGACATGACATAAACCAGCTCGTTACAATAGTAAGAGTAAAAATAAAGCAAGGTTTAGAGGAATTCATGATGTTAAGAGCCAATGTGGTCCGTAAAGCAGTGTAGGGGCTGGTTTGAGTAACTGAGTTCTTCCTAGTCTTGGACTTGCAGTGTAGCTTTGAACAAATCATATCATTGAGCAAATACTTTGCTTTCAGCCTATCAAATTGCTTTGTGCCACTGGCATCCTGATTGGTAACCAAGCCCATCCACCACCATCACCACACCTGTATTGAATGGCAGAGGAAGGTAATATTAGGATTATTGTGGGCCTCACAGACTTCACATTGCGATATTGGACCCAAAGAACAGGCATTCAAGCAGAAACACACCCGCACACATTTTTATATAGTTTCTTGTCTGTGTAATAATAATAATAATAATAATAAATAAGTTACCCAACACAACTGTAGGCAACTTAACAATTAAAACTACACATACAGTGCTACAAGTACTAATGTTTAATATACTTTAATTAAACACTGTGAAAGAAACACCTAAAGCAAGACCCCACTTGGAGCAAAAGTCTAAAAAAACACAAAATCCCCATCCAAAAATAACAATCCCAATGGGCAATATTAAACTACTGGTTGGCATTGGGGACACTTAAAAACCCGAAGAACAAACAGTGCTTCTCCTATGGGAGAACAGTGAATGGTCTCCCAGGATTTTATGTTTAATGATTACAAGACAGAGACTGTAAAGCAGTTGGCTCAAAGGAAATGCTGTTATATACACAATCTGCAATAGCACAGCACAGATCCATGATGTGGCCTTATTGTATTTTAGTAATTAGATGCTACTTTGGGGGGCACGCTGATAAGGTTCATGTAGTTATACAGATTTTAAACACAAATAATGGTCACTCCCCTGAATGTATACAATCTGAAGCTGTTATCCTGTCTACCATGGGCTAAGTACATGATGGGAAATCTGTGATATGATTTTCTATTGTTTTGTTTTGTTTTAAAAAGAATGGTTGCCTTACACTGGGGGTTCCGTTGAAGTGATAGGGGAGTGGGTTTAAATATGTCCTTGTGTCATCCCCTTCTGAAAATATTTGCCCAATTTGTAAACTGCTTTGAGGTTTTTCTTTTACAATCAAGCGGTGTATACATTTTATGAAATAAACAAATAAATAAACAGCACAAAACATATAGGTACTAGTGTGTTTTTCTGCAAAGGTCAAATAGTAGTTGTGAGTCATAGAATCATAGAGTTGGAATAGACCACAAGGGCCATCGAGTCCAACCCCCTGCCAAGCAGGAAACACCATCAGAGCACTCCTGACATATGGTTGTCAAGCCTCTGCTGCCACTCCTTGGCAGCAAATTCCACTGTCGAACAGCTCTTACTGTCAGGAAGTTCTTCCTAATGTTTAGGTGGAATCTTCTTTCTTGTAGTTTGGATCCATTGCTCTGTGTCCGCTTCTCTGGAGCAGCAGAAAACAACCTTTCTCCCTCCTCTATATGACATCCTTTTATATATTTGAACATGGCTATCATATCACCCCTTAACCTCCTCTTCTCCAGGCTAAACATGCCCAGCTCCCTTAGCCGTTCCTCATAAGGCATCGTTTCCAGGCCTTTGACCATTTTGGTTGCCCTCCTCTGGACACGTTCCAGTTTGTCAGTGTCCTTCTTGAACTGTGGTGCCCAGAACTGGACACAGTACTCCAGGTGAGGTCTGACCAGAGCAGAATACAGTGGCACTATTACTTCCACTATTACGTCTGTTTTGCAGAGGAAGTGGGGAAGGGTATTATATCTCTTCCCCAGTGCCACAGTCCTGATATTCTCTTCCTCCTGCTAATGCAGCTCACAAAAACAGCAGGACACCTGATTATGGATCTTCCGCAGCTACATGCATTTCTGTCCTTAGACCCATATGAAATCAGCAAAACTGAACAGCCTTGGTATAAAATGCAATGACACTTTGAAAGCTCAGAGAAAAACTGAATGTATATCAGAGCATTGTATGAATTGTTAGTACACATCTGGTAAAATGTCTGTGGGCTTGTATACATACACATAAATGCACACAGACACATATACACAGGAATTCTGAAAATTTGATATTTTATTCAAATTATAAAGCACATTTTCTTTCTTAGATTAATAAAGTACAGATCTCACTGGAGCTGTCTATTACTTTATAACCTCCCAATGGACCACTGTAACGTGGGTGCACTCTTAGAACCCCCTGGAAACTTCACAAGGTGCAGAATGTGGATGTTTTGTTATTATTGAGTGTCAGCTATAGCTAACCCATTAAACTCATCCTCTGCAGGCTGCACTGACTCCCACTTTCCACAAGCACAATAAGATGGCTAACCAGCTCTAAGCCAAGGCAAATGGGTGCTAATTCACACAGAGCTCTGTTGATTGATTCCAGCTGAACCCAGAAGCAGAAGACTTAATTTCACCCTTTCTAACTGTTTCTATATTCAACAAGCTGGTAAGCAAGGTAAATGGTACACTGGCTCTGGTTTTCAAATTTCAATATGCAGTAAAGACATATTGATGGTTTATGCTGATTTCTAGAAGGTGGGCCTTTGCCGCTTTAAATTTCAGTTTAGGAAGTGTTTCCACAGTTGATCAGAAATGCATATTAAAAATAAGTTTAAACACAGAGAGATTTTGTAAATGCAAACTGCATGAAAAATTGCAGCACTACAACTGAACAGAATTGTTTTGCAGGAGGAGGGCCATAGTTTCAGTAACAGAGCATCTGTTTTGCATGCAAAACATCTCAGGTTCAAGTCCTGACATGTCCTGGTAGGACCAGAAATGCCACCCATCTGAAATCCTGGCGAACCACTGCCAATCAGTGTGGACAGTATAGAGCTAAAAGGACAAATGCTCCGACTTGGTGTAAGGCAGCTTCCTATGTTCCTATCTGAAAAGGATATTGTATACCTTCCCTTTTGCACCCTAGCTGAGTGCAAATTCTCAAGACTTATGCCAAATTCAATCTCCACACTATCATGCTTTTTTGAACATTCATATAGATCCATGAACCAAAATGATAATTCCCTGGAAATATATAATCAGTGCAGACACAGATTATTTACACTGCCGTGAAGGATTTCCATAGTGCTCCTTATCAGTCCTTCCACTATCTTGGGAGGAAGTCACATTAATTTTAGTTAAGGCTGACTTGCAAGCAACCATGTACCTATGCAAATTCTTCTGAATTCCATGGGGTTTACTCCCAAGGGTTCTTAGTTTGTCCTCACCTTATGAATGAAAGGAAGTAAAATGGAGATGCTCAAAGGCCTTTTTTATTATTTTAACACCACATGCTGTGGAATTTGTTTCCCCCCTCATAATCCTGCATATACACATTGCAATCTGCTTGCTTTAAAGAATATCTCATAGCACCACAGACAAACAGTGAGAGCTGTATTTTTAATGTCATTACATAACAAAATAAATATTTTATCTTTCCTGTGCATAATAGAGTAATTAGACAGCACAGCGTATTGGATTAGCACACATCAGTGATGCATATTAATCACAGAATGGAGACAGAGCACTACGAGATGCAACAGAAGCTCAGTGAGTACCCATTTATACACAAATGGAAAAATAATAGTCTTTCTATTTCAGATGGCATGACATTTTATATGTAAATGTTAATTTCGTTTGCCACTTGGGAGGAGCCACTTAGCTTACCATAGACCACATGATCTGCATGTACACGCCCCACATTTACTGACCAGCATCTCTAGTTAAGAGGATCTGAGTAGTAGCCTGGCTAGCAAAGACCTCTGTCTGCTTCCAGATGACAGTGTGAGCTATCTTGGAAAAGTACTCAGAAATTACAACTGGTTCACAATGCAGCTGCCAGATTATTTGATCAGATAGGTAACAGGAACGTCCATTTGCAAACAGTTGCACTAGCTCACTATATGGTTTCTAGGCTCAATTCAAGGTGGTGGCATAGTGGCATTAAACTTGAAAGCACTGAACCATCTAGGATATCTGCAGATCCACCTATCTATTGTTAACACTCCCCATCAAAGGCTCTGCCTTGGATCCCCTAAACCAGTGTTTCTCAAACTTGGATCCCCAGCTGTTGTTGGACTACAACTCCCATCGTCCCTGACCACTGGTCCTGCTAGCTAGGTATGATGAGAGTTGTAGTCCAACAACAGCTGGGGACCCAAGTTTGAGAAGCACAGCAAACACCTGAGACACAGCGGTTGGGAGTGTCTATCTTTAACAAGACATTTTCAGCCTTGGCCCCAAGGCTTTGGAAGTCCACTCTGCCCCCTCTTTGTTGGCTTTTCAGTGCCATATTATGCTAGTTTTATTTCACTGAGGAGCATCTCTGAAGTTCAGCAAGCTCCTGGCTTTCCTGTGCTGCTGCAAAGTATTGTGTGAAAATGGTTTTATTGCCAGTGTATCTTTCCTTTTCATCAAGCAGTTTGTACATTTTATGCATTGTTTTTACTGTTGAGGGATCTATGCCGAAAACGCACAATTTAAATGCTTTCAATACATAATCAGAGTAGATGGACTGCTGATTTTATTGAGTAAAGGCAGCTTGTTGTGTGCCTTACGGATGCCATGACAAACATCATTGACTTTTTACGTTATACAGAACAAGTGGGACCAGCCACAAACGTTTCTGTGCTTTCTCTACACTGTAAGAAGGGCGCTACTTTCCAGCACTCCATTCAGCCTAGATCAGGAACCTTGAACTTCTGTTCAGTCCCTTTGACAGTAGCAGGGAGCTTCAGGCTTGGGAATGAAATAAAGGAATACATTTAGTTAGCTGTGCCTAAAGAGGGTTTGCAGGCAACATATACCACCCTAATTCCTCCCTCCACATTTATTATAACCTGTCTTCCACTGCCCTTCATTTTCCATCCCCCCACCAGATGACACACACATATTCCATATCTTAAACTGAAGAGGGCAGTCTAGCCATAGACTTGAGGGGTAGACACTTGCCCTCTTTAAGAGAGTTTACAAAAAACATGTCAGGACTCCAGTTGGGAAGAATGATGAGGGGTTCATGACTGGTTTCTTGGTTGTAAGGTGGCTTCTAAGTACATCCAGCTAAATAACTCTAGGAGCCCTCTTCAGACTTTTCCACTCAACACGTGAGGGTTGGAGATGGAGGGGATATGCACAGCATGGGTGTCTCTCACATGCTCATTTTCAGCACCTGAAGATGGCTCCAGCCTTAACTGCTGATTCCTTTATACCTGCTTCTCTACCTCCTCCAAGGACAAGATGGTGGCCTCATGTGCCTTCAGACCCTACTCTGAGAACCAAGTTCTGAATAAATAGAAATTGACAGGAATGGTGGGTAGTTCTGCTCTTCTGCCTTCTCTCTCTTTTTCAAGTTACATAGAAATGAATTAATTTACAGACAATAATAATAATAATAAATAATAATAATAAATAATAAAAAATCATTCCAGTAGCACCTTAAAAAGGTAAAGGGACCCCTGACCATTAGGTCCAGTCATGACCAACTCTAGGGTTGTGGCGCTCATCTCGCTTTATTGGCCGAGGGAGCCAGCGTACAGCTTCCAGGTCATGTGGCCAGCATGACTAAGCTGCTTCTGGCAAACCAGAGCAGCACATGCAAACGCCATTTAGCTTCCCGCCGGAGCGGTACCTATTTATCTACTTGCACTTTGATGTGCTTTCGAACTGCTAGGTTGGCAGGAGCTGGGACCGAGCAACGGGAGCTCATCCCTTCGCGGGGATTCAAACCACCAACCTTCTGATCAGCAAGTCCTAGGCTCTGTAGTTTAACCCACAGCGCCACCCACGTCCCTGAAGAAGTATCTGAAGAAATGTGTATGCACACGAAAGCTCATACCAATAACTAACTCAGTTGGTCTCTAAGGTGCTACTGGAAAGAATATTTATATTATTTATATTTATATTTATTTTGTTTTGACTATGGCAGACCAACACGGCTATCTACCTGTAATTTACAGACAGTATGACTTAAAAAACAAAAAACAAAAACTTGTGAAACTATAAGAGAATGTGATTTCTATAGGGTGCGGGGAATGAATAGGAAGGTTATCTGGATTAAGTTGAGTACAGTGGTACCTCGGGTTACATACGCTTCAGGTTACATACGCTTCAGGTTACACACTCCGCTAACCTAGAAATAGTGCTTCAGGTTAAGAACTTTGCTTCAGGATAAGAACAGAAATCGGGCTCTGGTGGCGCGGCGGCAGCAGGAGGCCCCATTAGCTAAAGTTTTGCTTCAGGTTAAGAACAGTTTCAGGTTAAGTATGGACCTCCGGAACGAATTAAGTACTTAACCCGAGGTACCACTGTATTGGGGCATTCAGGATTTTGGAGAGTTGGATGGATGGATAAACAAACAAACAAACAAATGGAACCCAGGTAAATGACAAAGACAGAAAACGTCTGAAAAATATTTCAGCATTCCAAAATGCCTCCGTCCTTTCAGCGTTCACAAGGCTATAGTGTAATGCCTTATTTATAGCATGTTTTCCAATGACTGATTTTCTCCTCACTATTTTAACACTCAGCTGTTGTTCCTCATTTCTCTCTTCATTTCTTTGCCTCTGTGATCTCTGATTCTGCCCACCCCCTACTCCAATTGCTGGTTTAGATGCTCAAATGAGACATCCAACCTTTTAAAGAAATCATTCATTTTGTTTAAAAGGTTGAATATGTCATGATAAGTTTGATGGGGCTGATATTAAAAACTAAATGTTCGTTTTGATTTTGTTGGGGGCCCTAGTATCTTTTTTTATATTAAAAAAACCACTTAGGCCAGGTCTGTAAAGAGGACAGGTGTAGAATGGCAATGGATTCAGTTGGACAGTACATGTAGCCTATATGAAATCAGGGCCTGGCTCATTTCTGCATATATTATATGAGTGCTTTGAATCTGTTCAGGTCCCAGATAGTACTTTTGCCTGAAAAGTTACACAATGAACTGTTCAGGAATATCAACATTACAAATGGCCACCTATTCCATATTCTCTTTCCTGCACCCTTTCTTGACTGTTTTTAAGAGCCTATTGAAATAAAGATATCATATGGTACCACTCTTCCTGGTGTCAGCCCACAAAGACTTCTCCCTGACATGCTAACATTCAGCCTCCCAGCTACGCTCTTGAAGTTCATTCTAGCAGGTACCACAGTTAGGTCAGCTCTTTTGATTTGCTCTTCACCTCAGCACACCTCCATCTCCCATTCTTTCTGTCTCCAGCACGCAGAACTGTTGTTCTGAAACAACAGATTTAAATTTCTGCAGAGGCACACTGGCCTCCCTTTGCTGGTATCATATACATGCTTTAGGTGATCCATCCAAAGAGAGAGGTTCAGGAGGGACAGGGTGGGACTTTGCGGTCTGTTAAAGACACCCATGCTACTGAGGGACAACAAGAAGTAGACATTTTAGGAACAATCAGACAGATTTCTCATCCCCATGGCATCGTAAATAAGCTGCTGGCTCCACCTGCGGCTGCTGCAATGACAACATAGTCTACACTTCAGTACACTTTAAAGCTGATCAATTAATTCTAAAGCACTTTTAATGAGATCACAGAATCTGTGGGATCATGCTTTAATGACACTAAAAGCTCTGTAAGAGGAGCAAAGAGCTTTCAAGGCATCACTCAAATATATACTATTCCAGAGGGGAAGTAAGGGGGGGGGAGAGAAATAAGGTAAATAATGAGGTTGAGATTATGTACTATGTAACTATATGCTACAATGTGGTGGTGGGAGATTATGGTACCCTGTTCACCATCCCCAACGTATTAATTTCCTAAATCCTTTACAAATTGGAATCTGGTCCTGAGATCATGGAAAAGCCATAGGTGCCCACTGGGACCTGTAAGGCGGAAGGAAGAGATGCCAACAGTAGGTTGAGCCAGAGGCAATGATAGACAGACATCTAATTCTGTTTTTGTCCCATCCTCCTTTCTGCTAAATTGCGAGGACAACACTGAGACTAAGGAGGAGGAATTTGACAGGCAGTGCCACTCTCTGGACTGATTGTAAGTAGATAGGCAGGCATTGGGGGCTGGCTGACATTGGTGGGGCAGTGCCCCATTTGTCCTGATGGACCAGCCTCAAATGGATCTAGCTTCATGAAGAACTGAGGGTCTCTTATTTCAGACATGGAGGAGTTTCCTTCCTTTTAAACAAACAACAACAACAACAACAACAACCCAATGCCAAGTTAGGCTCAATCTGGAAATAAAAATACCACAGTTCCATAGACAATAACTAAGTATGGGGTGTGTGGAAATTCTGTTGGCATGAAGGATGAGGTTTTAATAAAATCCTCTCTTTAAAAATGGCCTTTTTTATTTGGCTTCCTTGAAAATTTAATTATACCAGTCATTGCTTTCACCTTGAGGGACACCAGTTGAAATGACCATCTGATGACAGCTTGGCGGCCTCTATGATAAGGAAATGAACCAGAAGCTTCTCCTTTGATCCTAGAGGAAAAGTGTCCACATCGCTAAACAACCCTCATAATTAACACCTTTCTCTGACACCTCATCAGAAAGCAACAATCACTGAACCAC